TAATTTAATATATTATTTAATATATAATATTTTTTTAAAAATATATAATATTATTATTATTATAATATTATATAAATTAATATTAATATATTAAAATATTTTATTTATTGTATTATACACAATATATTATAATACTGACGGGATTCGAACTCACGATGGCACGGTTACAAGCCGAAAACCTTAGCACCGAGCTACGAACAGTTCTTCAATATATTATAATATTATAATATAATATATTGTACATTATATTTTAATTATATATACATAAATTCAAATATAAAAATGTTACCCCTTATATTTGTTTTTATTTTATTTTATATATTTTTTTTTTTAAATCTACATTAACTTTTAGAACAATAAATGACATATATATTACTTTTTAATTGATTTATAAGATACATTTACATTTATATATATATTTGATGATAGAATCATACAATTAAATTAGTTTTACTATTGAAATGAAACAATAATTTATCGTATTGAAGAAAACGTGAGATTTTGATACATGTATTCCATTAAAAGTCTAATAGTCGAGAAATAGAAGAGAAAGGTAACTACTTTCATGGAAATATCGATAACGATTAGATCTAATCATATTTTATATATACATACTATGAAAATCTCTCATCGGTCAGACTTCCTGGTGAACGTCGTCTTCATTTATGCAAGAATCGTGAGCTCGCATTCGTAATCATCGGTTCACAAATATGACACCAGGAATTATGCAAAATACTTGGATGCGTATGTACAACGGATTATTTTCTTGGAAGATCGTAAATTTGCTGACTTTGTCGTTCGTTATAAATATACATACTTATATATGTATATATGTGTATAAAAATACATACAACGTTTATACATTCATGAGGAATCTTCTTACACGATTGTTTCACTTTTTATCTGTTCTTTTTGTTCTTTAGAAATTTAACATTTCAAACCAACAAATAGCATCACAAATGATCCGTGTACACATTTCAAACTTCTCAAGCATTACATTTATTTTCCCCGATACGCTCAAATAAACTACACAACAAAATGATCGTTGTAAAATAGTTAAAAAATCATAAAGAACAAAATATAATGGTGAAATTCACGAAACATTCCTCCTAGAATCTGCTAACTTAAATTGACTGAAAAAATCGTCGTTAGTTTCAAATAAATTAACCCTTTGTACAAGCACACACACTCGAGCGGTGCCGAATTAAGGCATATTTAAGTGGTAAGTCGAGTGGCGCTGATACGGCGTCCGACTGACTGATTTCAAGTCGTTTCGTTTACTTTATCTGCTTATTTACGATGTGTGATAAAATATTTCTTTAAAGATAATACTTAAAGGGGTTGAAAAGGGACTGTAAGGTTTATTCTAATCGTAATACACCTGGAGGTAGACCGGAAGTAACAAATTACTGTGATACGTGTCCTGATAAACACCTAGAATTCATCTTGGCTATTGTTTTACGAAATATTATACAAAAAAAACTAATTGCAGAGTATAATATTTTTCAAAATATTCTTCTTTTTTGATATAAAAATAAATCAATTTGATGTATACGTTTGTTTGTTTATAAATGACTTTAAAGTACATGTCAAATGTTTCCCTAATTTGTTTGAAATCATCGTTGAGTTGCTGGTTAGCGTCTCGAGTGCAAAGAGTTAATTAAAAAATGGAATTGTTTTAGTCAAAATGGCGTCGTTCAGAGTCGATATTTCGAAAACGAATAAACGAACGAAGCAATGACACCGTAGCTCGTGCGTAGCATATTCTCTTGAGTCTCGAAAAGTACGTGACCTAGAATGCAAGGCGCTATCGCTGGCAGTTGCTGCTGTTGCTGTTGCTACAGCCAAGTTATGGGAGACTGTTACCATCACATTGACGTATAAACGTGTATAAATCCCATGTACAATTCATACCTTGGTTATAAACCTATATTACAAATAAAATAATAACAATATACATGCATAGATTAGGATGATTAACAAGTAACATGATTAACAGTTTATAATAAAATATGAATATTAATTTTTAAAATAATTATTTATTGGCTCATTTTTCACACCATAAATGTATAGAATTGTTTTGACGAGACGCCACTACGTGTTAAGTCAATCCCAATGATTTTTAGTTAACATAATTAACTATACTGTTAACAGGAAAATCCTAATCTCCGTTAAATACCACTTTCGAAGCATCTTTCACGACATATACGAAACCACTTTGTTCGTTCTGCGAACTGACTGCTTTCACGCTTTTGCAGTCGCGTTTTCAAATATGTTGAAACGAGTCAGGTTGTTTCTGTTGTTGTTGTTGTTGTTGTTGTTGTTGTTGTAGTCTCTTTGTGTCCTGTTAACTTTTATAAAGCCGATTAAATCGGTAGTAATTCTCGCTACTTCAAAAGAACGGGATTAGTCCGTCCACATTTATTATTCTTTATAATTCAATAGAATTTTATTTCTATGGTAATATTAGTACTTATTATTAATTAAATAATATTATATTGAATGAAAAGAAATTTCTAATTCTTTTTTTTTGTCTTTTTTTCATTTTCAAAGAAAAATCATTAACATTGTATTATTTTATTTATTCATGTTTATGAATGAATCTTTCTCAAAATTATCATCATTATACGTTTAACGAAAGTACCTGTCATTATTACCTGATTATTTATGAAAAATAAAATAACATTTGTTCCAATTACTACTCTGCATTGAAGCAGTGCGTGCACACTTGTCACTTTCTATTTGATCGAATTTATCTAAATTATTGACTAGAAAAAACAAAACCATTGTTTATCATAATCATTAGTCTGTATACATCAAATTCTAATTCATTAATGATCCGTTTATTTTGAAAGTGGCCAATTTTTAAGTGGAAAGTGACTAATTTTGAATTTAGCCATCAGATAGCGTATTTCAAGTGCTAAAAATCTCACCACGTGGCGTAGCAATTCGTCCTATCTACTATAATTTTGAATTTAGCCACCAGATTGCGTATTCAAGTGCTACAGATCCCAACCCCCCCCCCTAAAATCCTTAATGCGTTGCATTTCAATCTTCCGTCAAAATCGGCACGAACTTTTCGAACAAAATCCAAAAAATTGTAAAATAAACAGCTCAATTCAATGAATTGTCTTCTACAATTTATTTCTTCAGAAAAATTCTTAATTCTTTTCCTTTTCGATGAATTTTTTCAATGAGGAAAACATTCCATTCGTCACGTTGTCATTTGAACTATACAACGATCGGTTTCTTCTAAGAAAGTAACCTTAATTCTTGTTTCTTTTTTTTTTGTTTTGTTGTTTCTTACTTCCAATCTATTTCGTTAATCGTAAGGACTTGCCTGGTATGTGAGAGTCACACGACAATTCCATTTGCGGTTGATAAGAAGAGGTGCTCATTCTCGTTCTATGTGGTTTATACAGTTAACTATGGGGAGTCAACGATCTTGGCATGGCGCCTCTCCTTTGGACGAAACTAGATTCGAAGAAGGTCGCGAATAACGTTTAAAACGTCGTCTTGAATTTCAAATGATTTCATTGCCCCCCTTATTCCTTCCACCCATAACAAAACGGTATTGCATGTTTCTCTCATTGATAACAAATTAATTAATGTTCATTCAACAAAAAATAATGAATTATAAATCACAGTCTCATATTACAAATTAAGTACATGTGGTAAATGTAGTACAAGGTTATTGAAACATTTAAAAAAAAAAAAAAATGAACAAATCAGATTCTAACATTTTTTACAAAAAAATTGTCATTGAATTTTATTTATAGTTGACATTATTTTTATCTCATTTAATATCACACACTTACACACCTATTAAAAGTTCATGTAAAACGTAAAGAATTTTAAAAATCATGATAAGGTAAGCACGAAGATCTTCTTATTGGTTCTCGAATGTTTTCCTTGTGCTGAGGAATTCCAGAGTCAGGAATAATGTGAAAGTTGACCTCACATTTTCACGAATATAATAGTGTGTCTCTGTGTGTGTGTTAGTTGTAGCGTAATCTTGTCTCGCGTGTGCATATATGCATATGTTTTGCGGAATAGCTTTTATATATATATATATCTACTAGTTGACTTGTTTTAATATGAAACCATTGAATTTTCAATCATTTTCAATTATAAAAAAAGTAGATTAATGATTGTGAAATTAATACATTTGTATCAATATTTATTATCGAATTATTCGTTGTACCATAACGAAAAAATAAAATATAAACTGTTATACTATTTTTTATTTAAATCTTGAATCTGCAATAGAAAATACTAAAAAAAATAAAAATTAATAACAAAAGATTCACTTGTAACAATGTTGATACGACTCATTTATTAAAGTTTTATCGTTCATTAAATTATTAATATAATTATTTTAACTATACTTTATAATAATTAATGAATCATTTAATAAAGTAACGATCCAGTACAAAGAATTTTAATATCTGAATCATAACTGTTGAACTGTACTCTTCACTGATGATCTTTGAGCACTTATAAAAAAAGGTTTTTTTCTTTTTTTAAGTTTAAAATTTCGCTTGCATTATCAACAAAATACCGTTAATAACATCTTCTCGATCCTTTTTTGAAAAATAAGGGTCGAACGATGACACGTTTAAAGAATAAATCAAATGATTATGAACGTTACGAGACGACGAATACGACGACGACCGGAAACGATACGCCGGAAACAAGCGGTATGGGTTGAACCGATAAGGCCGTCGTCTGTCGGTCAAAGAACGGTATCACTTTGTGTTGTATCAATCATTTCGATTGTTTTCTTCACTTTTACAATGAGAACCAATTTATTCTTCCGCCATTATAATGAATGAACGAACTATCGACGAATTTCACAATTCTTTGCGATTCTAACGACGATATCGTTTCCATTTCTCGTGGATATTTTCTCACGTTTTTCATCAAACCCACATTTGCAATTCTATTGTAAAATCAGACATGTCTGATAAAAAAAAAAAAAAACGTTTACATTTATATTATCCCTTTCCTTCTCAACGAATACAACAACAACAACAACAAGACGCTTTCGTTTCTTCATCCGTTCGAAATAACCGCCTTCTCTTTTGATTTCGTCACGTGACCACGCGTTGTTTCGTGCGACGTTCGCTTATCTCACCATCTTGAATTTTCCCATTGTGCCTTCTAGCATTTACCATTTACTACTATACCTTTATGATAATATATCCAGATATTTTTGCTCGCAAACGTTCTCGACACACTTTCCTTGAAATCATCATCGGAATTACTATGTCTAAGAGTTGTAAATGTAATAAACTACTTTTAAAAGTTTACTTTAGGTTAGGTTAAACTCTAAGAGAGAGAGAGAGAGAGGGAGAGAGAAAGATAGAATGACGGAAACTTTCTATAAACAATTTTCCTCGCTTAATGATTCGATTGGAAAATTAAAGCTTTGTACAATAAAATTAATACTTTTGAAATAATATGGAAAGTATCAACAAAAAATTGCAATATTACTTACTATAACTTGTTGTAATCTTACGAAAAAAAAAAGAAAAAAACAGAAACAAATAGTAAACGTATTGTACAATTTATGAAATATTTCTATGACTTATTGTCGTTTATATGTGAATGTATTTTATTTCTTTTTAAGTGGAGACGTATTTGAGTCCGGTGGAAACGCATTGCATGAACATTGATTACTTCATCCCCGATGAAGAAAACCAAACGAGGGACTTCTCCGACGATGCAATGGCTCGATTACGTACGTATGGCGCAATTTAATGTCTCGGTTAGAGTTTAACTGCAATAATTTGATTGTACAGTAGTCTTATAATACGTGTTCAATGATTCGATCGATGACAGAATGTCTATAATTATGTTTTACGTATACCAATGTTCATTTATATTTTTATAGTCAACACGTTCACATCATCGTTCAAATATGGTTGTGATTAGATTGTGAAAATTTAGATTGTCCAGTAACTATAAAAAAGTTGCTATATAGTTGAAAATTATTTTGTAATAACAATTGTAATATATTTAATATCGTATTTTAAACATAACTTTAATTTAATTAATTAATTAATCGTCTGATAGAGTGAAAAACTTTAAGGGCAGCCGCCTAGTGGCGAAAATATGAATTACAACGCCGCCATGATCGTTTTAAACACTAATTCTATTAATTCTATTTGTTTTTTCATAATTTGCACATTTTATTTTCTATTTTTTCAATAGAAATGGGAAGATCCGTGATAGCACTTACAGTTGAAAATTAAAATAATAAAATAATAACAAAACATTTATTTTTTAATAACAATCATAATATATTTAATATCGTATACTATATAAACATAACTTTAACTTAATAAATTCATCAACCCGTCCGATACAGCGATAAACTTTTTAAGGGCAGCCGCCTAGTGGCGAAAATATGAATTACAACGCCGCTATGATCGTTTTAAACACTAATCCTATTAATTCCATTAATTTTTTTTTACAATCCGTACATTTTCTTTTCTATTTTTTCAATAGACATGGGAAGATCCGTGATAGCACTGTTCATGGTAGGTTTCCTAGCAATATTTTCTGCCTTTTGGACGGGAGTCGTTGGTTGTTGGAGAAGATCACCAGGAAACATCACAGCTACCGCCATTTTGATGCTATTCGCTTGTTAGTATACTTACTTTTGTACTATAATTATGTCATTCTCTTCGAAATGTTCTCACGTAAATTTTATAGGAAGAGAATTAATGAATAAAAGAGAGTGAGAAAGATAAAAAGAAAAATTAAAAGTTGTGTCGTTCGTTTAGGTCTACTAAGCGCCGGAGGCATGGGACTTTGGCATGGTGTAGAATATTATGAGAAAGAAAAGATCGTCGGTGAAGAATATTACCAACAATGGAGCAATGTAAGTAAATTACCTCCTTACGTATTTTTCTTCCTACTTCGATGAGAATATTCAATTATAGGTTATGTGTTTCTGACATAAAATTAAACAAGGTTCAGATTTTTCAATGGTAATCTCAAACCCACAAATATGATGAGTTCCATTTATGGCATAAAATTAAGCAAGTTCCTTAAAAGTACAGATTTTTCAATGGTAATTTTAAACCTACCGATGATGGGTCTCATTTGTGATTTAAAATTAAGCAAGTTTTTTGAAGGTTCAAATTTTTCAATAGTAATTTCAAACCCCAATTACCAATCTATACATTTTGTTATTGAAATTTTGTTAAATATAATTTTATAGGTGTCAGAGGATCGATTCAGAAGGGAGGGTTCTACTTGGAGTGAAATAATTAATTAATAATATTCTAAAATATAATTTATATCACTTTTTCTCTCACAGTGTATTGTTGATCCATGAAGAGAAGGCAAGATGAAGACACGATGACCAGGATTTTGTCAAATAAAATGATTAGAAATTGAAGAATAAATTTGATCGTAGGTTCTAAAGGATAACACAGCACAGTGGTACGACTGGTCGTTTTACATGGCCTGGTTAGGAGTGGCTATGTGTTTAGGCACGATGACACTATTTCTGATCGCAGCATCCTGCTTAAGAAAGGAACGTGCTCGCGAGCAGACCCAGAATGTTCAATACATCATGCCAGGTGAAACGATGTCCTGTGAACGAACCTGACTAACTTTTCCCGTTGTTTGTTTTTTGTTTTTTTTTGGAACGCGAATTCTAGGTCCTGAAGGACAACTCACTAATCTCGTACGACTGGTCGTACGTGGTCGCTTGGGTCGGCGTCGGTTGGTCATTAATCAGCGCAATCTTGTTTAGCGCTGCGGCAATTTGCTTGAGGGGCGAGAGAATGCGCGAGGAGGCGATGAACATGCAGTATCTCATGCCTGGTACATATTTAACACCAAAAAAAAAAACAATATAAAAAAAAAACCCCCTTTTGCTTTTGCAATGAACGCACTGTGCACAACGGGATGTTTGTTTTATGTTTTTTTGTATTTTTTCTTTTTTTTTTTTTTTTTAATTCAATTCAAGCTCAAAAACACAAATCTTATTATAAATTGCAATTTACAGTGACACGTATTTTTTAATGTTAACGAATCATTTGTATTATAATTCAATTATTAATATTTTATGAGTTATGATTGTTTCAAGCTTTGTTACATGAATAAATAAAAAACATGCATCATTGTATATGTGCACAGTATGTTTCACTAACTGTATAAATCATTTATTCATCGAACATTGATAAAAGTTCGTGTCTCACGTGCCGAAATGACTGACCCATTAAAAACTAACGCGAATCATTGAAATCATTTTACGATTGAACAAAACTAGGACACATAGTTCATTTTTTATAATTAATTAAATAATAATAATAATAATAATAATAATAATCATCATCATCATCATTGTCATCATAATAATATTAATAATAATAATAGTAATAGTCAAATAATTATAGAGAATCATTAGAGGTAACACACCATTGTTCATTAAAAATCATTGATAAATTAACAAACAAACAAAAATATTAACGAATTGTATATAAATTTTGTTGAATAATTTTTGTTTTTGTTTTTGTTTTTTTTTAAATAATAGTTAATAATAAAAGAAAACATTCGATTCTTTCATAAATTAGAAGTTTAATGTTAGGTATGGACTCTCTCGGTGAAAATCTGATACATATGATCGTAAATCCATTGAGAATTATTGCATGGAATCTAAACCATAATTATGTCGGTCATGTATCAATATCATTCGGGGAAAACACGACGTTCGATATTCGTGTCCGCGAAACTTTTACTTTTTCATTTTACGCTCTATTTCCATGATCGATTCTGAGTGATTTTGTTTACGGTCTGATCATCAAATAAGAAGAAATGAAAATGTCGGATAAATAAAACCTTTCTAAAAACGAAACGTTTACGATCGATCGGATCAAATGATTGACAATTTTTTACGAATTAATTTAATTTCAATGAAAACAAAAAAATATATGTATATAGATATTTCTTGTTCTTAGATTTTGTACAATGAAAAATTCTAATCTAGTTAATAAAAAAAAAATAGATTTAATGTTTATTTAAAATAAAAGATTCTTGTAAATAATTAATTACGTACATTAAAATGACATTCGAAAGCGGCACACTTGCCTAATTCGATGACCCACGCGAATGACGGACATACTGGACTTTGTCACCTTTTACAGTCAAATATTTTTGCGAATTTTTTTAAAAGAGACACTCGTTTAGTTTATCTTCATGTTCGTTCACATGTTTTAATTTTGTTACGTTTAACATTAAATGCAAAATTATCAATTAAAAATTTATTTTTATCTCATCAATGTTAACGATATTCGAATTTCCCGCTCAAATGTACAACGTTAGTTCACAATTAAATATAAACGTAATGAAACAAAGAAGTTTTATATGTGTTACGTTTAACAGAACTGAAAAATAATTAATAAAAAAAAAAAAACATATTTTTATTTCATCGATACTAACGAGATTTCAATTTCCCGCGCAAATGTACAACGTGAGTCACAATTAAATATAAACGTAATAAAAAAAAAACAAAAAAAAAAACAAAAAAAAGGCAGAGTGATCGAACACAATTAAAAATACATTTATTTTTCATAATACTTAAACAAAAAAACGTTTAATAAATATATTTGTTTCTGTAATTTCAGTGTATCCACAAAAACAACAGTACGCGTATGCAGGTTATCCAGCACCAGCGGCGTATCCAGGACCGTATTATCATGGGTCTCAATATGGGCCGTACAATTATTGAAAACAAAACACGATAAGACGAATATAATTATAGTCGGACGAATATTTTGAATTATGTTGATTTTTACGTATGCCCAACAACCCAAAAGACATACATTCGTCATATTTAATCGATCAAATCAATCAAATCAAATCTATTTCTTCTTTCTCTCATGCTCACCAAAATGGCGGGTAAGAAATAGAAGAATCAAAGGAGAAACTCAAATGATTTCAAACAAATAGGAAGGAAGACAAATTAATAAAAAAAAAAAAAAATACAAATCTATATATACATATATATAGCATATATGAAAGCAAAGAAAGGAAACAAGAGAAAAAACAAACAAAACAAAATGGAAGAAGTATAATTAAACTAAGTGCCGTCCTGTGCCTCATTTTCTTAGAATAAACTCGTACGAACCTTTTTTTTTTTCTAAGGTCGTTCGCGTGGCTAAACTTCCGGTAATCGCGATGTATAATCCTGTTGGAAAATGATGCCCCTTCCCCCACCCCCCTTTCGAACTGCGATACGCTCCGTTTCCTTTTTCAAACGTAAAAACAAAAAGTAGTACGATGGAAGAGTTAACACGGCAGGTTGCTCTTTATTAGTTTAAACATTTTCTATACTTATTTTTTGTTAGTTAGGAACGAGATCATATTTTTTTTTATATATATAATTTTCCTTTAGCCCCCACCCACCCCCCTCATTTCCCACTCTCTTTCTGTCTGTTCATCTTTATCTTTTATCTTTTTTTTTTTTTTTCAAAGATAATGTCGTATCGATACGATCTTCGTGCCTATTCACCCTACTGTTTGATTTCTGTTTTGTATAAATTATTATTTAAAAAAAAAAAATAAACAAAAAAATGCGCGCCAATTATTCCATTTTTGGAGGTTAGGTTTAACCTTCATCATTTTTTCCCGCCCAAAAAAATTTATTTAGTATTTACGTATGTTACTTATTATATACTTTCTGTATTTATATAATATGTATATATACGTTTTTTTGAAAAAGAACATTTTTTTTATTATTATTAATAATTTCAAATAATTAATTTTAAAAAAATCATGATTGTTTTTTTTTTCTTCATTTATTTTTTTTTTTTTTATTGAAAATCTTGTATGAACTGACTGAAAAATCTCATACCCCTCGAAACACATTTTAACCTTTTATGGGCTGAATTTGTGTTACTGAAAATCATTTATTATTTACATTACATTTTATTACATTTAAAAAAAATGGCAATTGTTTAATAAAATGGTGGAAAATGAATATTTTATCTAAAAGTAACACGAACCTATAGAAGGTGCAATGTAAAATTGCAATTATTTTTATTATGGCAAAGTAAGATCATTTTCGATCGTCATCGTTATTATTATTATTATTATTACTATTATTATTATTATCATTAATTATTATTATTATTATTATTATTATTATTATTGGCGAGACTCTCTATCGTCTAGTTATTTTGATATATATATATATAAGTAAGATTCATTTGAGTATAGGAAAACCATGCACGTATATATACGTGAATTAACATAAATCACATCAGTGTTAAATAATTAATTGTAAATCACATTGAAAAGAAATTACTATTCTGATTTGTATTTTCTGTCTTTGATTGTTCATTTTTATAGATTGTTAATTTAGAATTTAAATTTAAATGTAATATAAATTAAATCTTTTAAATTGCAAAAAAAAAAAAAGAGAAAAAAAAGACGGTGGTGCTCTGACATAAACGGAAAAGTGATTTTTTTTTCAAGTGATAGGTTTATTTTATTATTATTATTTTTTTTTTTTAATAAAATCGTGCTTTAAAATATTCTATTGATCACCATGATGGTACCTTAAATATAAGGGGTGTTATTAAATTAAAAAAAAAAAAAAAAAAGAAAAATCGAATTAAATTACTTGTCATCTACACAAGGAGTTCAATTAAAATGTCATCTACACAAGGAGTTCAATTATAATTGATCTGATATTTATAATAATTAGTTTAACATTAAGTTGTATGTACAATAATTTATCTAATTAATATTTACTTTCTTTTTTTTTTATATATATATATATAAATCTGAAAATAGGAAAAAAAAAACTCATTTGCAAGATAAATTGTATTTACCTGTTTTTACACCTTCTTTTCCCATTTTTGATTTTATCATAAGTATATACATACGTATATTTGTTTTTTGTGTATGTGTGTATATGTATATAAATCTAATAATATGTTTTAAGAAGTTTTTACTAAACTTAACATGTATGTATATTTGATTATTATTATGATAAAAATATAATGAAAATAATTAACTTAATTAAAACATATTTATATATAGATATGGGTTCAGACAAAGTTTTCTTTTTATGTTTGAATTATAAGTCAACCTTCTTTTTTGGTTTCAAAGGTACAATTGTGGTAATAAACTTACGAAAAAAAAATGGAAGTTTTTATTAATTTAAATTTAAATTTGTAATTTTATATATATATATATATATTAAATTAATTATATTAATTATAATAATTTACATTATTAAAACAAGTGTAATACATATATATATATGTATATGTATTTAGTAATAGGATACTTCGAAAGACGATAATAATCAGATGTGCAAAATCGAATTTATTATAACAATCAGAGAAATTATCGAAAAATAAAGATTTTTATAAAGATATATACTGTATAATAAAAATCATTTAATTTTGCAAATTCCAAATATACATACAGTATATATATATATATATATATATATATTGTAATAAAGAATTAGAAGTCAAATCTTCAAATCAAGATCACAATCTTCAAATAAACAAGTTTCGAGGACAATTTATTATATATTATTATTATTATAATATTATTTGTATTTTTTTAATTGTTAATTTAATTATAAAAATGTGCGCCTGTTTGTATGCAACCCTCCAGACACACGTTGAAAATGCTGCTTTCGAGTGCCATTTACTGAGACAGAATTTTTGTTCACTTCAAACTGTTCATACACGTTTGTATTACGGGTTGCCTATCTTTCGAGCAGAAAAAAAAATTCCATCCCAACAGGTGTGTCTGGAGGGTTGCATTCGTACAGGCGCACATCTTTATAATAAAAACACTTTAAATCAGACATAACGTTTTAATTTATATTTTTTTTTTTTATAAATTTAAATTAATGATGTGCTCGATATCAAAAGTTTAATTTGATAGAATAAATTGTATCAAATTTTTATTTTTATTAAAATATAAATAAGTTAAATTTTAAGGAAATAAATTTATACCCTAAAAATAACATTTTTATTTATTTATAATAATTATATTTCATTCTATTGATTATTTTAATTATAATAATTTATTAAAAAATAAATCTTTTTTTATTTAATTAATAGAATAATTTTTATTTCATTCATATCATTATTATTAACAAATTTTATACAATTATAATTATTTATAGAAATGTTTTAATGTAATTTTCTTCAACTACTAACTAAAACATTTGAAAATTGACTGATGGCCATGTTGATTTAATTCAAATGGAATTAATTTGTAAATAAACTTTTTGACAACATTTAGCAATAGAGCATTAAGTTAAATAATTAAAGAACATACATAGTACGTGTTTTTACCGTTAGATGGCGACAAACTTTTTAGCAGTCGGTAAAATAAAGTAAGAATTATTACTGCTAATTGGCAACAAATGTTTTACCAGTCGGTAAAATGAAGTAATAGCAAGTACCGCTAGGTGGCGGCACATATTTTATCAGTCGGTAATAAAATACAGATATACAAAAATATTTTTAATAAATGATTCAAAAATGAATGCAATGTAAATCACTTTTTTATGTAATGAAAACAAATGTATTTTAACAGTATTATAATATTTGTTTCTTCGTTGTATTCATGCATTTTGCATTCTTTTCACATAATGCAGCTGCAATGTCAAGAAATAATTAAAAACATAAATTGTACAAAATAAATGTAATAAACTGGTATTTATAAAAAACGAATATTATATTCCTTTTAAGAAATATTTCTTTATAACATTAATATAATGATTTCTTTAACAGAGATGTTAAATTGTTCGATTGAAAAAGATTATAAATTACTTTCAACAACGATAAAAAGAATGCAACAATACTTTTAACCATGAAAGATTTTTGCAGTATTCTTTTTAAATAAAAATAGAAATCTATGCAATTGTATAAACAAAAGTCCATTTTATAACATTTTATTTGAACAAATGATGATAAGAATACATAACCTATAATAATAAGTTTATAAAGCTATATTATAGATTTATAAAATATTAATCAATATTTTTTATAATAATATTAATAATCTATAAATATAACATTAAAAATGATTAATAAATGCACCTACCAATATATTAAATATATCTATATATACTGCGAAAAACATTTAAATGCCACCCTCCAATCACAATTTTGACGTTTTTCGAACTTTCAATGGAAATCTATATGATTCCGGTGGTTTCAATCGGTTTTCTCCCGTCACAAAAATGAAAGATTAGTAGCAGGAGCACATGAAGATATAAGAGGTATCAGGAAGTATTCGAGTAGAGTAGGAGGTCCTAAAGCAAGAGCGCTCATTGGTTGGTTACCAACCAACCAGCTTTTAGTAAACGCCCAGTCCTGAGGACAATAGTTGTTTATTTAAGAAATTAATTTTAAATACTTCCAGACATTAATTATAAACTTTTAAACACTCAGAATATTCTACAGACTCAAAAGTATAGTTTGAATTTATAAAAGTTTATAAAAAATCTTTAAAAAGTACTTTTTTATAGATCGACGCAGTGACCTATTACCCTAGATATTGGTGATATATAAAAAATTAAATTAAAATACTTCTAAACATAAATTATAAACAATTAAGCACTTAGAATATTCTACAGACTTAAAAGTACAGTATAAATTTATAAAAGTTTATAAAAAATCTTTAAAAAGTACTTTTTTATAGATCGACGCAGTGACCTATTAGCCTAAATGTTGGTGACATATAAAAAATTAAATTAAAATACTTCTAGACATAAATTATAAACAATTAAGCACTTAGAATATTCTAAAGACTACAAACAAAATGATTATTTCATAAAAGTTTATATTAAATGCTTTAGAAATAATTATTTTGTTAAAAAACCTAGCAGATATTATAACACATTGTCCGTGATTTTAGGCACACGTTAACACTTGATTTATTTAGTTGTAAGCATAAAATATATACATTTATAGATTAAACGTATTTTTCAGACTTTGAGAAAATTTCTTTGTTTATAAAAAATAGTAAAAACTATCTATTTGCTGAGAAATAAATTAATTAAAGTAATGAACTTTTACTTACGTTTGAAAAATAGACAACCATTTTGAACATAGCACAGGTGCGCTCTCTAGCGGTAGTAACTATTACTCAAGTAGTAAAACTGTGTCGCCATCTGAAGGAAAGATCACGCATCATTCCGCTAGAACAAAATCAACATGGCTACCTGTCAATACAATTTGAATGCAAATGCAGACTATATGCAGTGTAATGTATTTAATTTTAAAAATTCTTTCTGATGCAATAATTAAGTGAGTAATATTATTTATTAGTAATTATTTGTTTCATGTTTTTTCTTTAGTTATCACCAATTCAAGATGAAAATAGTTCAATTGGATGACTTGCTGTGCGATACTGTTCTGCCATAACCTAACAAAGATAATATTTTAAATAAAATCCGAAAATACAGATGACTTCCAAATGTTTTCTTTATTCAAGTTATTACTACAAATACTAGTAAGTAAAGTATATATTTTGTTATAGAAATTTCTACTAATTATTAAAATATATAGATTATTTTGTTTTTTAACTTTATGCATGATCTAAACATTTTCTCTCTTCAAACTTATTTTRGTACACATATAAACTTCTTTCTTAAATATTTTTAGATAAGTATGCAGCTCTACATTTTTAATTCTAAACTAAGAAAATTATGCACAGGAGAAGAAGTGTCCATTACACCATGGGATCAATGGAGATATATTTAATTTTCTTATGGTTAACGATTAGAAGATTTGCATTGATTGTGTCATCCTAACAAGAGTTTTATTCTATAATATTATGTAAATAGAATGCAGTTACAGTGACAATGAATAATCAAGACAAGAATCTGTCAAAAGGTAAACATTACAATCTTGTATTTGTAAAAAACAAAYTGTATAATTAACTGATTGATAAATTGATTTATTAAACAGGTGAGTTCAATAATTTGACTGGAAGTGTCTACTCATTACTATCAAGAATGATAAGAAGAATCCCACAATACTGCAACCATCAAAGATTTTTGAAGATACTGCCTTCATTATATTTACAATTGGAAAAAACCAYACTCAGTTCTATTCTATCAATAGAATTGCAGAAGAAATGCATCCTAGTTATCACAAATTAAGAAAACAAATGGCAAATACATTATAGTAGGAAATTGTATTCTTGAACAAAATATTTGACCAAGTTTTGTACATGGTAATGGAAGATATTAATTTTTCATTGACTGACAAGAMAAATTGATGTATTTKTTAATTAATATCTTCTTTGTAGAGATTCCATGTGAATTATTATGCAAATAGAATACAGCTGCAGTGTCATGAAATAATCAAAATCATAAATTGTAAAAAGGTAAATGTAATAAACAAGTATTTATAAAAAACAAATATTATATCACTCTTAAGTAATATTTCTTCATAACATTAATATAATAATTTTTCCAACAGAGATTTTCAATTCTTTGACTGAAAGAGACTATGCATTACTATCAACAACGATAAGAAGAATGCAACAATACTTCAACCATGAAAGATTTTGGATGACACTGCATTCATTATATTTACATTGTAAAGAAACCATAAGCAGTTCTATTCTACAAATAGAATCGAAGATAGAATGCATCCTTGTTATTACAAATAAGAAATTCATTCTAATCTGTAATTTTCAACATGTACTAAATTTATCAATGTACTTTTTATTGAGAACTTGAAAACATTACTAGGAATTGACTGACACCAAAAAATTGTATATATTTATAGAAAGTAATGTAATAATCTCTAGAAAGAGATTCCATATGAATTATTTTGCAAATAAAATGCAGCTGCAGTGTCAAGTGTCAATACTCTTTATTCAGAATGTTTTTACCTTTGTACACATGTGAATGTAATATAACAAATGTTATATATCATATAAACAATATTACATAAAAATATCTTGCATAGTGGACAATGTGACTGTGACAAAAATTAAAGATTTGTAGCAGGAACACATGAAGATATAAGAGGTAACAGGAGGTATCAGGAGGTATTCGAGTAGAGTAGGAGGTCCTAAAGAGGTCCATTGCATATAGCCTGTATTTACATTCAAAGTATGTTGACAGGTAGCCATGTTGATTTTCTTCTAACGAAATGATGTGTGATCTTTCCTTCAGATGGCGAAACAGTTTTACCAGTTGAGTAATAATTACTACCGCTAGAGAGCGCACCCGTGCTATGTTCAAAATGGTTGTCTATTTTTCAAACGTAAGTAAAAGTTCATTACTTTAATTAATTTATTTCTCAGCAAATAGATAGTTTTTATAATTTTTTATAAACAAGGAAATTTTCTCAAAGTCTGAAAAATACGTTTAATCTATAAATGTATATAATTTATGCTTACAATTAAATAAATCAAGTGTTAATGCGTGCCTAAAATCACGGACAATGTGTTATAATATCTGCTGGGTTTTTTAACAAAATAATTATTTCTGAAGCATTTTTTATAAACTTTTATGAAATAATAATTTTATTTGAAGTCTGTAGAATATTCTAAATGCTTAATTGTTTATAATTTATGTCTAGAAGTATTTAAATTTAATTTTTTATATATCACCAATATCTAGGCTAATAGGTCACTGCGTCGAACTAAAAAAAAAGTACTTTCTAAAGATTTTTTATAAACTTTTATAAATTTATACTGTACTTTTGAGTCTGTAGAATATTCTAAGTGCTTAATTGTTTATAATTTATGTTTAGAAGTATTTAAATTTAATTTTTTATATATCACCAATATCTAGGCTAATAGGTCACTGCGTCGAACTAAAAAAAAAGTACTTTCTAAAGATTTTTTATAAACTTTTATAAATTCAAACTATACTTTTGAGTCTGTAGAATATTCTGAGTGTTTAAAAGTTTATAAATAATGTCTGGAAGTATTTAAAATTAATTTCTTAAATAAACAACTATTGTCCTCAGGACTGGGCGTTTACTAAAAGCTGGTTGGTTGGTAACCAACCAATGAGCGCTCTTGCTTTAGGACCTCCTACTCTACTCGAATACCTCCTGATACCTCTTGTATCATCATGTGCTCCTGCTACAAATCTTTAATTTTTGTGACAGGAGGACCCCGATTGAAACCAACGGAACATCTGTGTTTCTAATGGAAATTAGAAAAAAACGTCAAAATTTTAATAAGAGGTGGCATTTAAATGTGTCGCACAGTATATATAGATATAGTAAATTTATTGATACATTTATTTTTTGAAGCTATTTATTATTGGTTATTAATTTTTATATTATTAAAATAATTAAATATTATTTAATAATATTAAAACAATTAATAATATATATATATATACATAATATAAACATATTAATATAAATATAATATATATAATAATACATAAATAATTATAATAATAATAAATAACAAAAATATTAATATTATAATTAAAATAATTAATATGTTATTATGTATATATATATATATATATATATATATAGTGTTATAGTACACTATAACACTACGTAGTACACTATATACACTATATAGTATATATATACATAACACTATATATGTATTGTCATATATATATATTTATATATATACTTTTATGTTATATATATAAGTTTATAACTAAAATCTTACCGGTAGAGAGCGCAACGTGTCCAACTGTAAGTGACCTAACCTATGACAGATTACTGGTGACGTTTGACGTGCTAACAGGTGTTATTGTAAGCAACACACGATGAACGGAACACTTTTCTTACTACTTCTTACCTGCCTAATTACATTGGACTACGTGAATGCATATATTGAACAAAATGAAGGTTGTTTAATATCAGTTTTTTGAATCACTGTTATTGTTGTCATCAAGTTTGTATTATTTCTAACCTATTCAAAAGAATCTTTTTCATCATACATAGAATATCCTAAATGCAAATAGTATGCATATATACATAAAAACGTGCGCAAAAATGTATATATACATACACACACACCACACACACACACACACACACACAGAGACACACAATGCACACATACCATTGACATATACACATTCACACATATATGTATATTGTTTAAGGCGCATAAAACTAAATATTGATGTACCTAAAGATTGGATTATACAATATTTTAGATTCACGAGAACAATCAGGATTTAATCTCCTTAAACTGCTTCGAACATATGGCGAACGAGGAAGAGGAAGTAGTCGTAGGAATATTGACAATGATTTGGAAACATGGACTGGTAGATGGATGCCGGATAGAATTGGTGATCCTACACCACCACCAAAAATATTACCTAAGAATGAATATTCTCATGATGATTATTCACAGAATTTTATAAATTCAATACATATGGGTATAATATCTACACAATGCGATGATGCTAAGGTATATATATATATATATATATATATATATGCAATTATGATAAAAAGGTTCTTTGTTTTTTTTTTCTTACAACACTTGTTGTCACATTTTTTTGTCAAGCTCATAATAACATTGAGTTTGTATTACAGACAAATTTAACGATTGATTGGAATGGATCACCGGTAAATCATACTTGTTACAACAGACGTATTATACCTAACACCAAAATCATTCCTATATTGTACTGTGAAAATGTACCAACAGCATATGTGGTAAGAAGAATTTCATTTACTTGATGATGATGATGATGATGATTATTATTATAACAATAAAAATGATCAATTTTAAATATTACATTTTTATTTATCTATTTCTCTATTAAATAGGCTGCTCATAAATGTATGAACGAGAAGATAGAATATGACGATGATTTACCAATTTAGTGAGTTTTTTCTTTTCTTTTTTCTTTTATGTTACATTGAAGATAACATTTTCACATTTATATATATATATATATAATTCTACATATGTAAAAATCTTCATTTTGTTTTGTTCAGTGGAACGCATAGACCATTATGGCCTGTTTATGGTGAATATAAATTTTTACCAAAACAAAGATGGCTTCATAGTATGGAGGTAATTATTTCACTTAATCTCACAATTTATTAACCAATTCTATTTCATGATTTATATTATTTTATTATTGTATTTCTTTTTTTTTTTTTTTTTTAGCATGGAGCTGTTGTTATGTTATATCATCCATGTGCTAATCCATTAGAAGTGAAACGTTTGAAAACTTTAGTTAAAAGTTGTCTTTGGCGACATATTATAACACCGTACAATCTTTTGGACACAAATAGAGTAAGTTGAAAAGTTGATAATTTGTTTTTTTTCATTTGAAACATGTAAATGACATTATTATGTTAATAATAAGAAGACAAAACTAATATATATATATATATAGTAATACATTGTTTAATTGTTTATAATCATTATGTATATTGTTTGACTAATTAATGATGTATTATTTGTTTGTTTGTTTGTTTCTTTCTTTTTGCATATTACAGCCTCTAGTATTATTAACATGGGGTTGTAGATTGACAATGTCGTATGTCAATCCTACAATAGTAAGACACTTTATTCGTGAAAAAGCTCTACATGGTCCAGAACAATTATCGGATGATGGACAATTTCAAGATCAACTTGTTTCTAAAGCAAAGGTTGTTTATGATAATGATGATACCATGATTTGCCCCTAATTAAATGATGGACACGTACAATAATCAATTATTATTATTATTATTTTGGTATTTTTTTTTTTTTTTTATGAGATTACAATATTTTCATTTTGTGACTATAATATTATTATTGTAATAATATATTATTATTATTATTATTATTATTATTATTATTATTAATGTTAATGCGAAACTTTTCCAAAGTTTTAAATTTGGAGTTATTATAAACACTCCAAGGTTGTTGTTTTTTTTTTTTTAAATATAATAACCTAATATTTTTGGCCTTACATTTAACAAGGATTTCATTTCCATATATATGTACTTTCAGCATTTTAATAATAATATATTTTAGGCTTTTAGGATAGTTCAATTAATTTTTAAAGAGCACTGGCTGTGTATAATCAAATTTATATGTATATATATATATATATTATTTTCTTAATAAATTGTAATACATGTATCTAACACGAGGCATTTTATATTTATTCTATTTAATGTAATTTCAATTATTTATTTATTTTTTTCTTTTAATTTTATTTTTTAAGATCCTTAAATTAGGAGCGGAATAAAGAAAAAGGCGGAACAGAAAAATAATGACACCTCGTAATATATTCCCGATATATTATCATCATAATATTCTTCACCGTTTTCGAGAAGATCCTTTTTTTTAAATACATTGAACATCGTGTCGGTTTTATTTTTCAAATCTGTTATTATTTATTTTATATATATATATATATATACGGGCCGTTATTTATAATATTGTATATAGTAAACTTCACTGCAGTGCTGACTATAATTCTTTTGCAAATACTTATCTTTAATTATATATAAAATTAGGGATAAGATAAGTATAACGCTACTATATATATATATATATCAGTAATGTAAAATATACTACCCGATTACTCAATTGGTAAGTCGTTAACGTAAAAGAATATAATTGTACAGTAAAACGCTTGGCTTATTAATTTTTTTCTTTTTTTTTTTCTTTTTTTTTCATTTTTTATTTCTTTTTTATTTTATCATTCGTAAGATGATGAGATAGTGTGGGTTCTGTAAATTGATTCTTTACATCGTCACGCTTTAAATGAGATTATTCTTTTTAACACGTTCAACGCCCCACATTTATTTTTCAAGGAAGTCCTTGTTGTCAGGCCACGTGCGCAGTCTTAGATGTTACATTTAATACGCTGTCAGTCACTTATGACTGACGTGGCTTAAACGTAAGGTCTAATGTCAGTCATAGATGACTGACGTGGCCTAAACGGAGAGTCTAATGTCAGTCATAGATGACCGACGTGGCCTAAACGTAGAGTCTAATGTCAGTCATCGATGACTGACGTGGCGTACAACGTGTTAATACGATAAAACGAATCCAACAAGATATCTTCTAAAATTAATAATTATAAATGTAATTAATCATAAAATTATGATATCTTCTTTCTTCTTAATATATATATATATATATATAAATTACTTGTCACGTTGTTTATTCGCAATGGACTCCTAAACTACTGAATCGATTTTAATAAAATTTTGCACATTTTGTGCAGTTTCATTCAACTAGAAAGATAGAATAGTTTATATTTCAATTTTTTAATATATTTATATATATATATATGAATTACGTGTGTCACGTTGTTTGTTCGCAATGAACTCCTAAACTACTGAACCGATTTGAATAAAATTTTTGCACACTATGTGCAGTTTCATTCAACTTGAAAGATAGGACAGTTAACATCTCAATTTATAATCGTAATATTATTTTATTAATCGCGAATTATTTGTTTATTAACAAAGGAGTCATGATTATTTATTATATAGATTAAAGGATGATTCTTTTATTGATTTCATCTTAAACAAGTGTTGTTGTAGGTGTGAATAAATAAATAAAAAAATGGATTTTCTATAAATTGGGGATTGAATGATACACGTTGGATTCGTATTTCGTTGGTCGACGATTGATCATCGTTATCGCGAAATGATTCCGTGTATATCTCTTAAATAGAATTTGAGATAAACGGACTAGAGAGGCCTACCTTTATATACTGATAGAGGAAACTTTCCTTTGTGCTTGATTACACGATGAAAGGGCACATTCACTTGATCACAATATTTAGCTCTACAGCAGTTAATAATCGTCACTCGTTAATAAAAAAAAAACAAAAAAAAACAAACAAACAAACAAACCACCACCACCATTCGTGATTGGGTTTTTTTTTCTCGGTATTATTATTATTATTATTATTATTATGTTTTTGAATAATCAATCACGAATGATCGTTTCATTTGATTCTTTTTTTTATCTTTTATTTATTTATAACAAGTAACGATTATGTATATATATATATATATATATATATATAGAAGGTATTTTCTTAACATTATTGCCAATTTTGTACAGTGTTTAATAATAACATTATATAATAATAATAATAATAATAATAATAATAATAATAATAATAATAATAATAATAATAATAATAATAATGATAATAG